CATCAAGAAATTTCTGAGAAATAAAGTGGATGGCACTGGCAAACTCCCCAAAACCAAGGGACATAAATGATAGCCCTGAGAAAGGGTACCTAGGAACAGTGACAGGATTAAAAATATGCAGCTAAAGGACTTCTGTGCTAGACAGAGAAGAAAGATAAAGGCTAAAAAATAACCGTTGAGTGTCACATGCTGAAAAAGTCCAGTGGAGCATTTTTGTGGTACGCAGAATGCTGCTCTTTTATCACAAAGTTTGCGAAGCAGCCGCAAGCTGTTTCAGGCCTCTTTGTAGAGAGTGAACCTAACGGACATGTTGATTTGAATTTTCCCCCAGCTAAAGGAGAAGGTAAAAGGGTGGCTTTGTGCTCATAGCACAGTAATGGGATTTATTTATTCTTGGTTCTTCCACAGTCTCCTTGTGCAACCTTAGGCCAAGTTATTAATCTCTTCATGCCACGGTCTCCCCATTTGTAAAATACAGTTGACGGTACATAGGTCACAATGTGCATTTCAGGCTAAATTCTTTAATGTATGTAAAGTGTTTTGCAACATGATGCAGGGAAGGACAAATTACTAAATGCTGCAGTGCTGCATGCAGAGTTATGCCAATTAGTGCCTTTTTTAGACATGGATCCCTTACTGTAAGTAGACTGACACCGCATACTGGTCCAATTTTAGTCTATGGTACCCTTGACCTCACTGGTTCTGAGATTGATCTAGAACAGAATAATTTATTTTCCATTTGGTGGCTATGGTAATTGACCAAATAAAAATTCCCCAGACTGCCCTTAGAATACCCGGAGTTTACCGTTATCTTATGCTGTACAAGCTGGCCCTTCAAAAAGCCTGGTTTTTGGAGGCATAGTCTAACAGGTTATGCATGGAATAGACACACTAACAGTGAAAGAATCTACAAAAGGAAGGCTCACCCTTACAGATAGATACAGGCTGCCATGAACTGGCTCATCTCATAAGTATTGCCCATCAAATGCAGTAACCTCTTTGCACGTATCAGCTGTGACTGGGTGGTGTGGTGTGTTGCCGTGAGCAAATGGATCTTTTGATAGGTGAACCATAGCTATGGTTTTCTAAACAATTATTTTTTTAATGTTTCTAAATGTGTTTTGCTATCAGTGCAGCTGGTAGATCATATATGGAATATCGTTAATTATCGTGTGTAACATGTCTGTTCTCCCTCTTACTGCTGAGCTCCCGTGTAAATACCCTTGTGGTTCTTTGCTGCTATGGGACTGTCACAGCAGATGCTTTAGCTTTTTCTATTGCTGTAAACAAGCTGTTGTGACTGATGCTTCTTTTTACCATATGTCCTGAACACTCCCAGTTCATAGTTACATGTCATTTCCAGGATGCTTTGTAGGGTGTGTGTGCCTCCACCCCATTTCAAAATCAATGTAACTCTCAATGCATTGACTAATGACTGCAAGGTGTTACTTAGCATGCTGGTTTTGGCTGGCAGTGCTACTAAACAAACAGTTGTTTGCTTAACATGTCTTTCATGGTTCCCGTGTGAAGTAACTTTTACTGACAAATTGCACATGCCAATGGCTTCAGGTTTGCTAGTAAGCATTTATCTGACATGCTGCTGAGACCAAAAAGAAGTATGACCCCAACTTGTTGCCCTGAATATTGATAATTTTGCCCTGTCCCTTAGCCACATCCTATGTTTGTGTTGTCCTCATACATTTTGTTATGCTGATCCCATCATCACTACATCCATCGTGAATCTGTAGAGTAGGAGTGGGTGGTGAGAACTAGAGAAAACTGTAATGTACCTGTAAGGTTGTTGTGCTGATGCAGTGTATAATATGCTGCAATTCTGTCCCACTATGAGGAACCAGGACTGATGTCACATTTTATTTGTTTTTGTTTATGTTGTTGGTTTAGACCATTCTCAACCCTCTTCATGGAATAGGATATGCAGCACCAAAGAGAAGTTACTTGTGCACAGCAACATACTTACTTGTTATATTATAGTGGGTGGACATTCCTCATTATTCACTTGTGACATGCTGACCTTCCAGAAGGTCTGTCTGGCATTTCAGTAATGGCATATGTGATGGTACGGTATTGAGTGTGGTCAGGAATGGTGTCTCTACTAATCGTTTTAATGAAAGCAATCGTCTGGAGGTGAACAGAAACTGAATTTAAATTGTAGACATGAAAGAAGTTAAACTGCAGGAAAGAGCATTCTTTGAGCATCTCTCACCTGACTCTTTAGGTTTCTGTATTAGATGGTTGTCTGAGCCTATGTCGTATGTGCTGCATTGCTGGAGTATCCTTGCAACGTAATGTATTGCTATTGGGAATATAGCTGGTTTTTTTTTTTTTTTTTTTTTTTCTCCTTGATAACTGGTGGAATTGTTCATGTTGCCTTGGGCAAATAGCATGCCAGCTCTTACTTTGTTAGATATACGGCAGCAAGCTGTGTGATTATAGTTACATAGCCAAGGAAGGGTTTTGGCTAATTGTTCTCTTGAGGTTAGTACCGATGTCTACATAACAAATTTTTGTAGCTCCACAGTGGCAGGGGCACATAACGCAGCTTCTCAGACATCTATCCTTTTTGCTAACACAACAGTATAAGTTACAGTTGGTGCTCTTTTTCTGCTGATATGTGTAAAGTCCTTTAATTCTGGAAGTTGGAGCTGAGAGAACCACTGTTTGAACTAACATTGGCTGTGCCCTTCTCTTCATCTCTCCCTCTGAGAGTACGATAGAAGATGCTATGTTGGTGAATTTCCATACTCAAATCTTCCATGAGTCAAGAAAAAGTTAAAAAGAGCCTGATGTAAATGTATCAATGTGTAACATAGTCCCTGTGGAGAGGAAAAGGTTATTGACGTTGTCTTTCCTACAGATGGATGTCTGTAATGAATGTCCACATCGTTTCTTTTACACTTTGTGCGAGTATCAGCAACTTAGAAGCACTTCGTTATTTTTTTGTGTTTCCACAGCTGGATCCTCTGTATGGTATCTGGCTGTAGTGCTCTCATTCGTGGTGAGGGCAGGTCTTCGCGACAGGTTGTTATTTGGGCTATGCTGGTGAGTGTGGTCCTGTGTTTATACATTATTTTTATGTTAAAGAGAGAATGTCTGTAAAAGCAGCCTGATGGAGTTGTTGCAGAAAGGAGTATGTTTGCGCTATGTGTTGTCTAGATCAAATCGTGCTTTTGTACTGTGTTGGATTTCAAATGTATTTTGATTTAGTAACTGCTTTCTTGTGCTTGTGTACACCTGATAGCCAAGTTTCTTGTCCAGCTGAGTACTGAACAGTGTTGGTTTTGGGTTGTGATAGGCCTTCTTTTGCAGCGGTTTGCTATGAGGGCAACACAGGCAAATCACTGGAGTGCATATGATTGCCCGTTGCCCGGGGCCCAGGATGTTCTGTTTTCCTTTGCTTCTTTTGTGAAGTTTCGTAGGACGAGGACACTACGCTACTGCTTGGCTTTGTGCAGCAGCCTGCGCATCTGGGACGCCATGCTGTTGGTCTGTCACAGTCACTGTGCTTCTTTGGTACCAAGGGGTTCCTGAGTCTTTACCATTCACAGCTGGATGTTGTAGTAGGTGATCTTTCATCTCCAGCTGCCTTTGAAAACTGCAGGTTCACCTGGCAGTGCATGTTTTTTTCTTACTTTTCTTCTTGCCACAACTGGCATCTGCCTGAAGTAAAAGTGCCAAACTGGCCTTACTGCAGGAAGAAATAATAGTTCTATGGACTCCTTTGCTTTGTTTAAAAGGAAAGTAAAGTTTTCTTGGCTATGTAGTGTTTTTTATATCTGCAAAGTTCATTTTTACATGAACATTTATTATTTCTTTGGCTCCTGAAAGAAAATATATTCTGTAGGATTTCCAAGGTCTCTGTAAACTCTGGAACCTGTAAAGAGTTTACTGTGGACCATTTTTTTTCTCAGTGGGCTCTTTTCCTGTCTTTCACAGTGAATAGTACCGTGGTCTGTTGAGGGGCAGAATTTAATGTGTGCGGTAGGGGAAGAGTGGCTCAGCAGAAATGGTGCTTACCTTCTTTTTTTCACATTGGTGTGTTTTGCCATATATTTGTGATAGAAATAGCCTTTGTCTGGTTCAGAAAATGCTTAGCATTATGGATTTGACAGATGTCCACCTTCTTTCAGAGTTAATACTGTTGCTGATCGTCTTTGCATAGCCCAGTCCCCACCACCTGTAAGCTAGTTCTTATGAAGACCTGTCAAAGGTACAGGTCCCTGGAATTTAGTGTTGGCTCGAGAAACAGAAGGGAAAACTCTGATTATTGTTTTTTTGGGGTTCCCAAAGTGCTTTTTGCATTCTTGGAATATCTTAATATTGCCTATGTGATGACTTCCCTTTTATTTCTAGTTGTTCATTCTTCAGATCATTACAGATGCAATTACTGCAAGCAAGTGCTTTTCAAGAAACTGTGTTTTTGCCTGCCTGTACCGCATAATGCTTCTTGTTCACACAGCACAAATAAATTGAGGTGGTTTCCTTTTATGTCAGCTATCTGTGTTGCTTTTGCTAATCACTAATCTTGCATGTAGGTTATAAGCTTCTGTAAAGCTGATTCAAAAATGATGAGAGAGTAGAGGTTTTCAGAAAACTCTTAAAAAAGTGATTTCTGTTTTTCAGTCATCTGCTCACTTGTTAGAGTCATAGTCTTTGGTTTCATTCATGTTCAGTGTTATGCTGGTTATTGTTAACATGTTTACCCCTTATGGCAGTAAATTTGACTGCAGAGGTTCAATTTTCCCTATTGTTAGTGTGAAAAACACCCTGTATACAGCAAATGAATTAAGTGACACCGAAACACTACATTTTATATTTACTTTTGCTGAAATAAATAATAACCTGAAGTTAAAATTTCAGAGCTGGAAACCCAGCTGGAGCCAAAAGAAACTGAGATTATGCTTATGAATTTTTGCCTGACGTCTTTTGCTTTGTATTAAAACACATGTAATAAATAATGTTCTATTTCTTATTCCTTACAGATAAAGCGAGAAAAACCAGAAAATATACCAGATCTAAAAGATTTAGTAAATGAAAAATTTACTGCACTGGAGAGCAAGAACAGTGACTCAGATTTGGAGAAGAATGAAAAATATATGTATTTTAAGGGTCAACTTAAAGAGATGAGAAAACAATGTAAGTCTTATTTAAAAAAAAAACAGAGTATATGAATGCTAAATGTTAACATGTGACTAACTGCCCTAAAATATAGAACTGCCAGTAATGGCTCAAACCGAGGTGACTGTTCTTGTTTAAAAACTTACTTAAATTGATATCTGTGTAGGAAAAAAGCCAGTGTAATTACCTTGGTAGTTTTATTTAGACTCACACAGTTCCTTCCATGTTTTAATATAAATATAATGAAAATCTTGTTTCACAGCTGTTTTTTGTAAGGTGGGCTTTTTCATTTGAAGACTTTTCCATTTTTTTTTCTTAATTGATGGGATCTTGTGAAAGGATTAGGTAAGCTGTTTTCATTTGTCACTTAAACAAATTGCTCCTGTTTCACAACTTAGGATGTGTTGCAACTCTAAGAAGACCTTTGCTTTAATCGTAGAACTATATTGTTGGAAAATGCTTACTGTGTGTGTTCTCAGGTTTACGGCTTCTATGCACGCACTGTGTAATGCTGCAACTTATTAAAATGTGTTTTTCTTAATTCATGTGATTTATCAAGTGTTAAAATTTTAGGTTATTTGTGCTTCAATTACCAGAAAAGTGGGAAAGTGAACGGTTTAGTTTTTATGCAGCACAACAAAATTGTATGCTTTTATTGCCCTGCACTAAAATATCAGCCGTTAAAATATCAGTCTGATTACTGTTGCTGGGAAAGTTCATGGGCTCTAACACTATTTGTGCGGTTCTTCCCCAATCATGATTATGTTTTGAAATCATATTATTCTGCTTGCTGTCCCTTGACCGCTGTACCTGTCCCCTCCCACCCTACATTTTGATTTCAACATGAACTGGTGTGTCAGGAGCTTCAGGAGTCATAGATTAATGATTTATACCATTGGAAAATGATAGTCTGGATGCTTTCCTGTAGCTCTCCTTGAGTTTTGTTTTTTTGGAGCCCTGTCCAAAACTCGCTGAAACTAGCAGAAAGAATTTTCCCGCTGACTTCACTGGACTTTGGATTACTTCCCTAAAGAGATTTATGAAGTGTGAGGACATGCTTGTCAAGGTGAATTTTAGATCTGATATCTCAAGACTCCCTAGGATTAGAGCTTGAGGGCTTAATATATTTGTTTCCCATCTTTATGGTATTTAAGATTTTGGATTTGAGTATTAGCACTGATCTCTGAGTTTAATAGGCTCTTGGCACTACTCTGAGAATGAAAATACCAAGTTGCAGACCACAAAACAGTGTAATTTTCACTCCCTACATAACTATAAAATTATTAATGCCCCGCCATTATGTTGTAATTCTTAATTTCCAGGTGTCTGTAACTGAGAAGATAAAATCTTGATAACTGACTTTGGATTTACCTTCCACCCTGTGATTGCCTGAGGAAGGGGTGTATGCCCTAGTAATACATTCAGCTCAGGCTATGGGACTGTCTTCTAACTGGCAGACCTCTTGAAAAAATCCCAAACTGAATAAGCGCAAGATGAGTTAGTCTTAAAAAAAAAAAAAATACGAGGACATCATTCTGCTTCTATTGCCTGAAATCCAGATTTGTCTTATTAGCCACTTGGACTTCTGTTTTGGTTGCGCATAGAGGTGAGACTGTGCCCAAAGTGGAATGCATGATGATGTTGGACAGGCTGCTGAGTTCAGTACATGGTCTATTGATCAGCTGGGTCTGCTTAGGTTTTGTAGAATTCATGGTGGTTTTGATGAGATAGATCACATTTGCTCCTGTTGCAGCATTTTCATGCAATTTAAAAGGCGGAATGCAAAATTGTTAGCTTTCACAGTCTTGGATGGAATATGATGATTGTGTATTTGAATAAAAAGTATGGTTCAGCCCACCTTCTTTTGAAATGGGTAACTAAATGCCACCTCAGTCTGCAGATAGGAAAGAAGTGGAAAATTCAAAGTGAAATCTTTCAAAGCAAGCACAATTCTGCTGCCTTAAACTTGCATCAGCATTGTCTCTTCTGCCTAAATAATCTATTGATCCACCATAAAGTCACTTTCCTATTTTACTTTCCTCTTCAAAAGGCTCTTCTACCAGAAAGGCTCCCAGAAATTCTTGAATGGCTGAAGATCAGTGGAGTCTTTGTATTCACATATGTAAATTTACTTCTATATGATACAGTGACCTGGAACCAGTAAGACTGTCCAGTTTCGCTATTTATTGTAGTTATGTAATGTTCTTGCTAGCCTTTAAAAAGACCCACAGAACTGAATATCACAGATTTATTCACAAACTTAAAAATTACAGATACCCCCAGTGTTATAAGATGAGGGCCTCTGATCTTAACAACTTTGTGAGAAGCTAAACTGACACATGTACTCCATCTGGTACAAAAAACCTCTTCTGCTTGTTGGGCTCTATGTAGTAAATTACTATGCTGAGATGTATAATTGAGCACTTTCGATATTATCTAAAATATCACATATGCCACGTAGAAAGTTATGTTACTGTAGAGAAAGAGTGAGCTCAGAGGCAGGAATTTCTGGGTTGCAATACCAGCTGAACTGAAGATTCATGAAATCTTTAGAAGACATCTACTAGTTTCAATAAACTGGTGAACTGTGTATATGTGTGGGTTTCTTTTATAAGGATAACGTTAAGGTCACCCTGTTAAATACACAGCAGCCCTGCTTTAGTCAAGTCATCTGCGTATTCTTTAGCTTCTGCTGTAGGAGTTGTGGTTTCAAAAGCATGAGTCCTAAAATATGGGTCCCATAATACAACGTATTATAACATGTCTGCAAATTTTGGGACACGCTTTATAGTAACTTGATATGAGTTACATATATCGATAACTTCATCAACAAGTTAATACTTTGTTTTCAACTATTAGTCTTGCCAGGTTGGGCACAACTTCGTGCGTAACTCCTGGCACACATATGCAGTACAGTCCAAATTTTAGCTCTTTCCTTGGATTTGTTTTTATTGCTAAATCAGATAAAATACAAAAAATCCAATCAGGTTTTCTCAGAGGAGCTTTCCTGGAGTTTTGTTTTGTCCCAGCCTTTTCAATCTCAAAGGAGCAGATGGGGTAGATGCCAAAATAATTTCTTTCCATGATGAGTTACCATTAATCATTACATCTCTTTTATGCAGGGTATGACGTTTGTATTCTAGAATAGCTGAGCAAGAAAATGTTATATTCCCACATTGTCTTGCTACTTTGAAATAAACTAGGATTTGAAAGAGAAGGACTTTCTCGACACAAAGCTTTTAGGTACTGTGCAGAGTGTGAAGGAGTTAAATATAACCTTGTTTAACAGAAACTTAAGATAGCTAATACAGTTTCTCTCTTGATATTTGCTGCCACAGTGATGAAAGGGAGCTGCACGGTTGTTCCCTGCCTCTGACAGGTGACATGCAGTGGGGTAGGTAGCTCTAATACTCAGGGAGCGGAATGGCGCTGCATCACCTTCGGATTCTCCTCTTCTCTAGGCGGTTCTGCGGGAAGGAGACCTTCTTGGCTTTGAAATTTAGCAGCCGCTAAGGTGCAGAAATGAAATTGGGAAAGTGCATCTCTGTGGCAGTAAGGATGATATCGTGCCTCAGAGCAGTTTCTGTTCTGCTCATCCTTCAGACAGTTTGCGGGCGTTTTCCCTCAATCTGTGAGCCTTTATTGTGCAACTACTTTAGCTGGAACTTGTGCAAAATGATGCAAAATCTCCACCTCTGATGATATGTGTCAAAACACTGTCAGACAGGTTTTTTTATGTGAACAGCAAGTGATTTTTCTGAAGTCTGTTTTCAGAACTATCTTACATTCCTAAATTCCCACTTCTTGTTTTTAATGGGAAACATTTTCATTTTTCTACTCAAACTTGCTTAGAATGTAAACAGTTGAAGTGTTGATTATTTTTAAAATTTTTTAAAATTTTTTTAACCACTCCTTGTACCCCAAAATGCCTACATTATCTTTTCCAAATAATTGAGCTCTTGGACCGATATTCACTAAATCTGGTAATATCAGAAAGTTCTAAATGATTGCATGTGTGGCTTGCAGGGAAGAGTTTTGTGTGAGCTTCACCCCTCATGACTGATGCTTTCCTTACACATAAGGGTCCTGGATCTGCAAAGTGTTTAATCAACTGCTTTTGATTAAGTGAAATGCTTAAGCAAGTTGCTTAAATTAAATTGCCTGAGTAGATCCTTTGAAATGGGTGAGATTGCTGGCATGTTTTCCTTCCTTATTGGAGTGTAACCACAGTACAGAACCTTGCAGGACTGAGCCCATAGGAACGCAGACATGATTACTGCAGGAACTGTAACTTCGCGTTTTGTATCTTCTGTAAATTTAAAATCCCATCTTCTGTTTAAAGTTGTATTACCAAGTCTTTTTATTTCATGCCAGTATATATATATCAAAGGCATCTTTTGGCACAGAGTATGAGAATTTTGCCTTCACAAAATGAAAGTAATATCTGTCTTTAATCTTTGTGTATCGGTTTAAATTTCTGACACTCTGTGGAAGAGCTAATCAGCAGGTATAATCTCTACTTGTGTGACCCTAGCTGACACTACTGTATTTGCTGAAGGTTATTTAGTTTCACATTCGGTGCACAAAGGATGACAGATTTCATAGCCCTTTTATAGCAGCTGATAACATGCACTTTGGAATCCTTGATAACTGCGGTCTGTGCGAACACCCGACAGATGCAGGTTTTGATAGGCATTTTGTAGAAAGTGTGAAGATTTGAGTGAATGACAGTATTGCTGGTTATGCCAAACAATTTAAGGAGTCAATGTGGCAAATGTAGGAAAGATAATTTTTTTTTTTTTTAGAGAGAACAAATCATTTTGAGACACAATAGTAGTTTAGGCAACTTTTTGTCATAAGAAGCCAGTCATTGTAGTGTAGTTTGGAAAGTAGCAACGCTGCAGTTGTAAAGCTCTTCTTTGCCCTCTCCACTGACAAAAAAATCTTGGGGTTTTGAAAGCAAATAGCATGTATCGTGATTTAATATCTTGCTAGGACAGATTTACAGTTGTTATCAA